TTACATACATACATACATACACACATATGGATCGATCGACTTCTTGTCATTTTATCAGTGTTTTTTTTTATTTATACATCAAAACTATATCTCTTATATCTGATGTCGTGCATTATACTTTACTTATCAATGACATTATCGCGATAAGTTGATTATTTTTCCAATCGTTCAATTTAATTTAATTTGTGTCTTTTTGGCATTCTGTTGTTATGCGTGGTAGTTTTCATTTTGCACAGACCAGATAATCTATTGTTGCAAAGTTGATATTGTTGATTTTAATGTTTGTTTTATTTCAAGTTATGGAGATTAGTGTTTGTTTCACGTCGAAATCATTAATCAATCAATCTATCATTGTTAGACGACCACCAACATAAGAAACCTGGAACAACTGAAAGACGGCTGTTTCGTCCTTGTATGGGACTAGTTAGTGAAAGTGCGCATCTATGAAGAGTCCTATACCAGGACGAAACGGTTGTCCAGTGCTTCTAGGTTTCTCAGTCAGTTATAACGTAGAACTTCCTTCGTATGTAAGTACATAAGTTGAGGTTATCATACCACATCAGCACAGAGACGCAACTGTCAGTTCAAATCCCATAATGGTAGAGATAATAGAAGTATTAGAGGTAATGTAGAAGATTCGGGTTTGAAGATATGATTCGGGAAGTATAACTCAGTGAAATAATTTTAGAAAGCGAAAGATATATATGTTGAGGTTAGAATTTTAGAGAACACAAATAATGAATACACCTGCGCCGTTGTAAACGATTCTGAGCCATGTTGCTCAAGGTCTCTAACTATTGGTGACTTTCGTCTCGCCGACTCCAACCAGGTAGCCTACATCTGCCAACAGGACTCAATCCATTTGTCAGTGACCTCATAGATTTGTGCAATGTTTTGGTTTGGCCGCCCCTTTAGCTTTCTTCCAACCGGTAACAGCACGCGAGACCAAAATGGTCACAATCAAATCCTTCCTTCTAGGTTTCTAATGCTGGTCTGTAAGTGATTAATTGATGATTTCAATTTTAATTGTTGTGAGAAACAGAATAGAATCGTTTTTAGTGATTAGAAGTAACTTTCTCACTGATGACATTGATTTGGCAACAAATTCTCAATAGTCGAATATGAACTTGGAAGCAGTATGATGCTATTCAGATTTATCAAGGTATGAGACAGTTATAACATATTTGAGATAAGATGATTTCAGTACGGATTGATAGAAGCAGAATGTTGGTTCAAAATTGACTGGCATCGGTACCTGATCTAGTGATAAGGAGTGAAGTAGTTGAGCGTGTTGACCGCTTCACTTGTCTCCGAAGTATCACCACTACTGATGGCCTGGTTCGTGACGAAATCTCAGCACTTATACAGAAAGCTCGATTGGCTCTTGATAACTTGCGTCAGTTATGACATAGGCTAGATATCCGTTTGCTAACCAACAGGACGAGTCTACTGCTCAGCAGTTCATTTCATCCTTTAAATGAAAATCATTAAATTCAACAACGTTAGATGATTTTAATTCTTTTAAAAGTTTGATTTGGCTCATACATTCCGCTTATTATATCTTTGTATGTGTATGTGTGCGTGTGCGTGTGCGTATGTGAGTAGAGTTAAAACATCATTTCTTAACTGATAAAACAAGAATGTGTGGTTATTCAACTATCCATGAAATAATAATCTACGAGTACAATTTGTAAATTAATTGTATTTATATTGTCTGTCCATTCATGAAGAGTCTTTAATATTTAATGAACTATATGATTTACCTGAATTAATTAATAACAGGAAACCAGAGATGATTTCTAATTTACAAACAAGAATAATTCATTATTGAAATCCAAATTTTTTAAAAAAAAAGATTGAGGAAAATTCTACTTTTGTGTCAACATATTTCCTGCTATTATTGTACATTGAATAATAAATAGTTTAAAATAAATAAGAAATAAGAAAATTAATTATTCAATTTTCAATTATTGCACAAATTAGATTTTGTTTTTAATCAGTATATAAAATGAATTCAACTTTACTGATTCATTGAAAAAGCTAGTCGGTATTTGAATTCAATGGTTCAACTAACGAGTCCAGTATATAGAACGAAATAAGCATCTTGGATTCCACCACTAAGTACTATCTATCTATGTTTATAACTGTTTTAAATGTTTCGAATATGTAGATAGAGTTCACAGTTATCACCTCCAAGTATATACATATATATATATATCACACAGAACTATGTGGATGTATAGACCACATATTCACACTACGTCAATTCCTAAAACATAGACACACTTTCAGATGTCCCACAATAGTAGTATTTCTCAACCTTAAGGTGGCATTCGATTCTGTTGATCGTGAGGTTCTGTGACAGTGTCTGTTGTGAAAAAACTGCACCAATGATGTACATTAACATTATACAAGCTCTCTACCCGAACACCACTGGTCGGGTGAGAGTCTATGGCGAACTTTCAAGGCTGTCCACTCTCTCCATTCTTGTTTAACTTTGTCATAGACATACTTCTAGATATAACTTGATCTTCATATGACTTCTCAGGAGTGAACCTTCTACCAAGAGACATGCTCGTTGACTTGGAGTGTATGCTCATGACAATTTCGCTTCTGTGCTAATGTCGTATGACAACCTGAACTTATTTACTTACATACGAAGGAAATTCTACGTTGTAACTAACTAACTGACTGACTGACTGACGCAACCATATGGGTTTTTTCCACTCCTTTTTTATCAACAACAAAAATCCCAATTATTCTCATGATTTTTAATTTTTTGGAGAAAATAAAATTGAAATTTATCTTGATAATGTATGCTTTCATTTTTTTTCAAAAAAAGAAAGATGTATTTTCCGTTTCATTTCATTCACAATCACACATAATCCTTATTGATGATCAGATAACGATAATGTTGATGAGGATGATGATGATGATGATGATGATAAAAAGAAGAAGAGCATCATCTCATAAGAGATTGTCGTGGGACTGGATTTATTATTGCGCATTTCACTCGTTTACTGTGTTAATTCTATTTCTTATTTTTTCCTAAGTTTACAAACAAAAAACAAGTTGCAACGATCTCGGTATAGATAGATAGATAGATTAGTTTTATGTGTTCAGTGTCTTTTCTCCTTACATTTCCATGCGTAGTTAGTTGTATGTGTGATAAGACCGATGGTGTGATGATGAGGATCTTTTTAAAAAAAACTTTCAATTCTTCTGACTCTGTTTTACTTTGTTGGTGTGTGTGTGGAGTTTCGCGACATAACATCCCATTTAATTGTATGATTTTGTTGGGAAACATTTTGATAAAAAAAAAATAGAAGATAAGCTATTTATTGAAAAAAAATATTAAGAATTTCTAATCTTTCCATTGTTGTATGATGCACTAAAGAAAAACACATACAAAGTTAATGAATAACTAATTTTATCATGATCATTCATTCTTTATTGAGAATGTTGAAAAAAAGAAAGCAAATAATCAGTAGTAGAGTTTAATAGTAACACAACTGAAAAAAATACTATCGTCTCTTCTGTATATGTGTGAAATTCATATCTGTTCTACAAGTTAGTGGCTGGCTGAATTCATTTGTTAAAGTGAACAATGCCTGAGTACTAGGTTCGAGTCCTGTTTGTGGTTATTATCAAGACTGGAATAGGCAATAGGTATTTCTTATTGTAGACCAGTCATTTATGAAAACTATTCGATTTCTGTTTTGCAGTTCCATGTTTTTATTTGCTCCCTTTATTATTCAGTGATATTCATTTTGTTTCACGGAAAAAATTAATCTTCTATGATGCACTAACAACACTAAATAATCAACCTTAATTAGTTAATTACTTACGTCTGTTACCCCCGAGTGTGGAGTATAGGAAGCCGACCAGTATTCTCCAACCTACTCTGTACTGGGCCTTACTTTCCAGTTCTGTCCAATTTTTGTTCATTCTTCTCATTATCTTTCTCTATTTCTCAGCGTAATATGTTCTTTTGACTTCCTCTTTTCCTTTTGCCTTGAGGGTTCCATGTGAGGGCTTGTCTTGTGATGCAGTTTGATGCTTTCCGTAGTATGTATCCTATCCACTTCCACCGCTTCTTCCTGATTTCTTCCTCCACCACAATCTGGTTTGTTCGCTCCCACAGTGGGTTGTTGTTGATGGTGTCTGGAAAACGAATCCGAAGTATTTTGCGAAGACAACTGTTAATAAACACTTGTTTCTACTGGATGATGATGGCCTACGTGGTTCTCCAAGTTTCCGCCTCATACAGTAGAACTGTCTTGACATTTGTATTGAAAATTCTGCTTTTGGTTTTGGTTGAACTTGAACTTGAACTGATGTACCTACGTACGTACGTACGTAGGTACGAAGTTCTACGTTACAGTTAATTGATCGCATAAGAAATATATTCAATGCACCATTGCTACACTATACTTCTCTCTACTTTTGAATCTCTAACAAGACTATGTCTACTAAAAACAGCAAGCTTGTCAACGTGAACATTGAAAAATTCAATGATAACCAGCTGGTTGTGTTCTTCTTACCTCTATGTAAAAGAGGAGATTCAAGAAGATATACTATGAAGAACTATTCTTTCTCCTTCTCTTGTCTCATCTGTTATTTTTTTCCTATACATAATCTGCCATCTTCTACACTAAAAGAAGGTTTTAATCAGTTAAGTAAGAACACCTGCCAACATCATCAATGCTATTCGACTAGCATTTCAAATGACTAAGTGAATATGATATTTGGTAGTAATCAACGGGAATATGTGGTCGTGTGCGTGTGTGCGTCTCTGTGTAGTTCATGATAAACACGCCATTTTATTGCAGTTCACAGAGAATATATATGACATTGGAATTTAAATGTTTATTTGACTAGCATAGAATTCTCTGAATTTGATCTTTTTTCTTCGAATCAATAATTCTCACTCACATTTATTATTATTATTATTATTATTATTATTATTATTATTAGTATTATTGAATTCGATTTTGTAGGCAATGGTACAGTGGAATTCGATGAATTTTTAAGAATGATGCGTAGATATTCCCAAAATCAACGATCCAAATCTCCGGATGATGAACTTCGTGAAGCGTTTAACGTGAGTGTACCAAATGTTGGCGATTATGTATTAGTGTCGACTGTTTTTTTTTTATATTTTGCATGTCTCCATGGATTATATACACTAAAGAAAAAACTGATCCTATAATTCAATGATTTTTAAAATCATGAAATATGCTTACTTAGACCATCAGTGGAAAGGATGCAGGTATATCAAGGCTGGCATATCACAATAGATGGGGCATTGAAGCTTCATAAGTTGAAATGGTTGGGACATGTGTTGCGGAGGCCTAACCACTGACTGCCTCGTCGAGCTATATTTTACGGTGTAGGAATAGGTTGGAAGCAAAGAAGTAGGGGGGGGGGCAAATGAAAACATGGCAGAAATCAATGAAGTCACTGACAAGTGTCGACTACCTGGTTGGGGTCCGCGAGATGAATGACATGGCTCAAAACCGTTTGCAGTGACGCACGTGCATTTATTCTTTGTGTTCTCTCAAGACCTAAACTTTTTCTTTTTAAGTTTCATTCACTAGATTCTACTTCTTGAATAATGTCTTCTAAACCTAAACTTCTAAATTACTGCTGTTACTATTATGTTCGTCACTAAGTATGCTTGAAGCTATTACGAGTTTACCTTAGTCGATAAACGCGAACGAGACTTTTACCAGCGTCCAGGTAGGCTACCTTGAATCCCAAGCTGAAGTAAGAAGGCTTTGTAAGCGTAGAAAGTATATTCTACAAACACCCAGCAATCACAGTACAATCAAGCATACAACTCTCGTTTATTTATACATCATAGAAACGTCCTTGAGACAGTTAAGAAAACAGCACACTAAAATACACAGCAGCCAATCAGAGCGATGAATTTTCCTGGTGGGAATTGAAATCTCAAGGTCAACTGATCAGCCCATGCTGACAAACGTGAAAACCGAAATAAGGCATTTATCAAGCAAGTTTTGGAGATATAACATCCCCAACAATTACTTCTACTATCTCTACCACTGACAGTTGTGTCTCTGTGCTAATGTGGTATGGCAACCTGAACTGATGTACTTACGTACGAAGTTCTACGTTGTAACTTACTGACTGATTCGTCCTAATATGAGATTTTTCAATTGCACGGTGGTCATCTACGACATTATCATAAGGGAATGGAACTAAGCAGCCTTGAATCTCGGAATGAGCTCTTTATCCTCAAATCGATTATACTACAATCAGTGGTTTATAGTGTTTAAATTTCAATCGATTTACACTATTACACAGTTAGTTAGTTATCTTGTGAAGTCATTAGTGGTGGTCGGTCATCTATCTCTCTTACCTGGTATGTTGGAATCCAACTACTACTCATTAATTAATACTCTCATAATAGGCTGAAATATTTCCGCTGTACTACTTCTTCATTGTCCAGCTACAGTCAGACTTTCAATAATTTTACAACGATAATATTCTTTTCAATGATTTATGTATGTTCCCCGAAATCGTCATAATAACCACTGCATAAATCAATAAACAGTACTGGGGATTTCACAATGAACACACATTTGTTTTTTCTCCTCAACATTATTATTATTATATATACATGATGCCTAAACAAAATTTGAAAATTCGAACACCAGTTAAAATAAATAATTAAATCAACAAAAAAATAATCCAATAAAAATAAAAATGGTAACATTGTCAATAGACCACCAGTTTATTTATTTTTAGTTATCAACCAATTTTGAATAAGTGGTTACTATTTTTATCTTTTCCTCAGTATATATATAGATGTTTTATTTATAACATATCTATCACATTACATATATATATATAGATGTGTATATAAATAGAAACCAAATTATCTAAGCCTTACTTTTTTTTGTTCAATCTCATCAATTTTTTTTAGGTTGGTTAGCTTATTGCTACACTCTGAAGCGTTGAACATTTATTAAATATGTCTGTTGATTAACTTTCTTTAAGAATATTAAAGACTCCCATTGTGAAAATTAGAACAACACATATAAGCGAACAATATTGTTTTCGATTAGATCGTCATCAGGCTTTATTACACTAATATACATGAATATTTATTTTATGAAAATGTTAAACCAATCAAGACAATTTGAGTGATAATCACAATGAAATGAAAAAGGAAAAAGTACTTTCTTTACTCGACAGAACTAAATAGTTGTTGTTGTTTTTTCTTTTTAGTTTAATTTCTCGTGTCTGCTTTTATTTGCATGCAGATTCGCTTTTACATGTGTGTGTGTGCGTACGTGTGCGTGTTCAGTTTGATAGTAATGATTAGATGAAGGTAAGAAAAAATGCAGTCTTCTGTATGTACATCAACTTAAACAACAGTGTAAGCATGTTTGGGATGTAGTTGCATCAAGATTGGCTTGTATTGGCACCTGAACTAGTGAAAGGAAGTGAAGTAGTCGGGCGTGTCGACCGCTTCACTTATCTTGGGTGTCTCTGATCAGTGATGATGGACTGGTTTGTGAGGAAATCTACTCAGCACGGATACAGAAGGCTCGATTGACATTTGCCAACTTGCGTCACTTATGGTGTAGGCGAGATATTCGTTTCCTGACCTCTCTGTCTTAGTGTATGGCTGTGAGGCATGGTCGGTAAGAGTAGAAGATATTCGTATGTTTTTGATGGTTTTTGATCATAGGTGTCTCCGAAGCATTTCTCATTTTTCTTGAGACTATCGAGTAAGCAATGCAGTTGTTAGGAAACGAGCACTAGGTAGGGATGGCAGATCAATAGATGAAGTTTTGAAACTTTATCAGTTGAGGTAGTTGGGACATATGTTACGAATGCACAACTAACTACCAACTACCTCGACGAGCTCTGTTCTGTGGTGTAGGAGTAGGCTGGAAGAAAGCTAGTGGCGGCCAAACCAAAACATGGCACAAATCCATGAAATCACTGATAACTGGATTGAGTGAGGCATTTTGGTAATTGTAGACTAACTGGTTGGAATTAGAGAGACAATAATAATCGACCTTAAATTATATGACTCAAAATCGTTCACAATGGCTCAGGTGCCTTCGGAATTCCTCATCTTCTCTATCTTTCTCTTTCTAAGTTTATTTCACTGGGATATACTTATCGAATCATATCTTCTAACCCCTACTACTTCTACCACTGTGCAATTTGAATCAACCATTGCATTTCTGTGCTATCGTGGTATGGCAACTTGAACTGATGTAAGTACATACGAAGTTCTACGAAGTTTATGACCGACCATCTGACTGGCTGAATGAATTACTCTTCTTTTTCAAACACAATTTTTTCTACTATCAATGACGCTGTTCTACTTTACTTGAACTACTCTACAATTTCAACTGATAACTTCATTTCATCATCATCATCATTATTATTATCATTGCTGTCATTATTATTCTTCTTCTTCTTTTGCATTTAGGTATTTGATCAAAATGGTGATTCAGTCATTGATTTCGGTGAAATCAAACGAACAATGCATTTTTTAGGTGAAGCAGTAACTGACGATGAAGTACGTGAAATGATTAAAGAAGCCGATTTAGATAAAGATGGATTAGTTGATTTTGAAGGTAAACTAACAGAGTTCTGTTTTGTTTTTTCGTTGTTGTTGTTATTTATTGTCACCATGATAATAATTTTTTTTTGCAGTAAACAAGCCATTCTATATATATATAAATAAAATCATGGTTGCCATGGTGTTTCTTTGGTTGAGAATTACATGGAGCGTCATACAGACACATATCCATTCAATTTTTTTTCTGTTCTCTTATTTAATTAGATCTTATCCAGTACATTTTTTGTTTTCAGTCATTGTCGTCTATGTAACTACTACATCCAGCCAACGAGGTGCATTATTATGAAATTTTAAACAGTCTACACAAATGATCTAATAATGATAGAAATTTTCTATCAGTAAAATGGAATGACTAACAATCCCAGTCGATTATTGATAATCCAGTAGTAGTGTGGTGCGCGCGCTACTTATAAGTAGTAAATGACGCGAGTGTGTAAACGTAATGTCTGGCAGCAGAAGATGAGGGAAGATCAAGAAAGGAAGAGCGGGAACACAATCGGATTTGTATGAAACGCATGAATAGTGAAATGTCAGACAATGGATTGATGTTTGTTTGCAACAAGAACAGTCCAGTTCGATATGATGGATTGATATTTTGCAAATTAGCGATTTACGATATGGTTTTCCTATTTTTACCAATTAACTCTGTAATTTGAGATAAATACAATTCGGTTGCCCTCACCTGTGTTCTCCTTCACTACAGTAGTGATACAACAATGTTGTCGACTGATTAGGAGATTGAATGAATAACTGAATTAAGTCCTCAAAATTTTAATTGATGACAGGCGATAAGATAGCTGGCTAGCTATTCAGTAGAATAGAAGTGACCAGAAAAACTAAGAAGCACTAGATCAACATCTCGTCCCAGCACAAACCTCCTCAGACGTAATTCTTTCATAATCAAACCTCAGTGAACCGAATCCGGAACCTTCAGCGTCACTTCACCCTTGGACCATTGAACTGGCACATAGTGCATATTATAATATCTAACATAATCGACTATGTTCCATTGATTGCAGTTAGTAATTATTGCCAAGTTTTGCAGTGATAATCTTTCTAGCATCAATTCATGATTTAAAAACTATAAAAATACTATAAGTTTCATAAAACCTTATTCTAAATTGACTGAACATAGAAAATGGGATTACATAGTATTATTCTTATTGTGACATTGAATAAATTCCATTCTCAGATAGAATAACAAATACCTGCACTACTGAATGCCAACCTAGGTCATGAGATAGATGATGAAGAAAATGTGTAACTCAGGTGGATGATTTATTCTATGTGTGGGAAGGAGAGACTGAATGAAACTTCACTACAGACTAACTAGGTCATCTTAAAGGAGTCCTGTTGCCCTATTTGACACAATATCCGGACATTAAATGCTCCAACATGTAATTTAGAACGGGGTTTCAGGAGACCAGGAATAACGTTTCGTGAATTCGCATCGTTTGCATTAGCGGTGCAGTGTGATAAAAGAATGTGAAAAGAGTTAGTCGTAGAGATAAGAGAAATGTTAGCAGGTGTAGGAGGGATTTGTTTGTGTCCAATTTGGTCTCGCGTGCTGTTTGTTACGGGTATGAGTGCGGATGTCACTTCTTGACTGCCCACACAGTGATTAAATAGTATTATTCTTATTGTGACATTGCAGAGGTCTCATTCTCAGATAGAATAACAAATTTATGCTGAATACCGACCTACGTCATGAGATAGATGATGGAGAAAATGTGTAACTCAGGTGGATGATTTATTCTATGTGTGGGAGGGAGAGATTGAATGAATGAAACCTCACCACAGACTTACTAGGTCATCTAAAATGTCTTCCAATATCACTACTGTATACCTTTCAATGGGGTTCTCCAGTGGTTTGTTGATAAATTTTGTCTGTAATTAACATTCATCAAACAACCCTCAATAAACAACACCTACTTACAACATCATTTCTCTTTTTATTGTTTCTTCCGCTTTAGAATTCAAAATGATGATGAAACTGCTACGGTCACGTGATGGCAAAAAGAAGAAATCGAAATAACTAATCATTTCTATACTAAATTTTTCCCTCCCCTCCCCTCCCCCTCACACACATCACCCAACTCCTTTTCACCACACACACACACACTGTGCCACATGGAATCTCTCACTCACTCACTGTCTCTATCTGTCTATAAAAACAAAATGAAACTTGCAAATACTCAATTCTATAATCTAATTCATACCTGCTCGTTTGTATCTATTGTGTTACATTGTTTAGAATATAACAGTTAGGCTAACTAGCTAGCTAGCTAGTTAGTTAGCTAGTTAGAGCTCTAATTACCGTTTGTCAATAGCCTAATTGGAGTATATTTTTTTCCACGTATTTTTTTATGCACGTATGTAAGTATGTATGTATTATATTCTAATTGTATTCAGTGTTAGATACATGAACATGCAAACACTTGTTTCGCGCACACACGCGCGCACATTCACACACACAAAGTATTTCGACTCGATGCGTGTAGTACTTCAATGGCAGCGTGCCTACTTACTATCTATCTATTCTTTAATCGTTCAATAATGATTGTTTGATTTTGACTTTTTTTCCCGCTTTTTTTTGTTTTAATCGTTTCACCTAATTAAAACAAACGTACAATAAGAATTAATCTGTCTTTTTCTGTTTGATTTTGTTTCTTTGAGCTTTTTTTTTAACATAATCATAAATCTAACTGATTATCACTATTATTATTATTATTATTACTGATTACGTAATTGTTCTTTTTTCATCCTCTAATGATTGCCCTTACTTGATTGAATATGAAGAGAGTTTCGGTGTACAAGTGTGGAGCAGAATGGAATGGAATGGAATCATGTGTCATTTTCTCAGTCTGTTTGTTATCTCATCCTTGTATATGTGTGTGTGTGTCTGTGTGGGTGCGTGCGGACGATATCTCGGCTGATAGCCGAGAACTGATTTTTTGTATTTTTCTCTCTTTCAATTAACTCTCTATGCAGACAGACCAATTGAATCAATCCTAACACTGACATGTCATCATCAGCAGCATCGTCATCATGAATCTGTTTATTGTCGTTGAGATTCCTTTTGTTGTTTTTTTTCTAAATCAACATTATTCAGCGTGTAGATTTGCTTTACTGTATTATTGTGCTTCAACTTTTGTCTTTATGCCCATTTTCGTGTGTGTGTGTGGGTGGGTGTGTGTTTGTATGCCTATCAATCGACGTTTAGTTCCCCCCCACCACGAAGTAATTTTATTCACCTAGTTTTGTTGTTCACAATGATCATTATCAGTAGTATTAGTATTAGTAGTAGTAGTGGTAGTAGTATTCCATGCATGAATAAATGTTATTATATATTTCAGTGAGACCTGTGATTATTACTATTATTACTACTATTATGTTTTTTTTGTATCTGTAGTAAGTACACTGTGTTATCATAAAAACTAAATTTTCTTCCTATAGTTTATTATTGTTTTTTTTCCACTGTTTTAATCTCCTCTATAAAGAAATACACGCACTCACGCGCACGTACGCACCTCTGTCACAAATAGTCGGGATATTCAATATATATGCAATGACGCAATGACGAACACAAATGTCATTTAAACACTAGTTGTTTTTTTTTCTTATTCAGTCAAGTGTCATTATTATCATTATTGCTGACATAGTGTTTATAAAGTATGATGTACTACTACTACTACTAATTATCGGATATCAGTAGTAGTAATGGTGGTAGTGATAGTATCAGTAGTAAGGGTAATATTATTGCTAATCATAGTAGTTAATTGTTTGACAAACAAAATCAACATGATTAAACAAACTCAACAACACACATTCCAAAATAATCTGTTCAATCTTCAATGTTTAACAATCAAAACAAAACAAACACGCACACACACACACACCGGAAGAAGTGTCAACACTGATGTTTCTCTCTCGCTCCCGGCCTTGATACATTCATGCTGGTGCATACGTGCGTGCGTCCGTGCGTGTGCGTATGTGTGTGTATGTTTGTCTATTGTCTTCTAACCATGCATCTGTAATTATATTTCCATCTTATAGTTTTGTTTTGTTATTTCTGTTTATTTAATTTTGAATTAGTGTTGTTTAACAGGGAACAAGCAAGGAAAAAAAAATACTTGTGAGACAATAATAACAAATCATCATTCGTTAATTGATGAATATTTCATTTGAATATAGAAATGATCTGCCTTTTATTTTTTTTCTCTTTTTCGGTAAAGGAAGAACAAACTTCCCAGAAAAAAAGTAGTAGTAGTAGTTGAAAAGTAGTAGTACTCTTTCTTACTCACTCACTCACAAACACTCTGTCTCGCTTTCTTTCTCCCTTACAATTGTTCACTTTTGCTGTTGTTGTTGCATCTTTTTCCTTATTCACAAACAGTTGATCTTTAAAAATGATTTTTGGGGCAGGAACAAGGAGAGAAGGCGGTCTTTTCTATTGGCTATCATTCTCTTGTACTCTTTGACTAATTTGTACACTTCATTGTTGTTCTTCTGATTTTTTCCAACATCATTCTAACACACACAATATACACACACCTACACACTGGAACAGTAGTACTTATATGTGTATTAACATTATAATGAAAAAATGTCGTCGAAAATCTTTTACTCTACGTCGACTATATACAATAAAGGACCACTATTACACACTGTTCCCAATATATACATATATATAAACTGCCCATCTCTTCCCGCCCCCAACTTGTGTTTCACTCTATCTCTCTCTCTCTCTGTGTATGTATGTATGTGAGTACATGTGTGTGTGTAGTTGCGACACAATGTAACATTGTGGATCAAATGATTGTTTTGTTGTGTTGTGTTGTGTTTTATGTGATTCGATCAAAAAAAAACAGTGTGTTTATTTTTGTTTTCTGCACTCTTCTCTTCTTATTCTTCTTCACTGATTAATTATTATTACACTTGTCTGTCTCATCCATCATCAATATAAATGAATCTGCTCAATGTGTATGAGACGGAAGCATAACACCAAACAAATTAATCAACCAATCAAAACAAACAAACATTGATTTTTGATTCACAGAATTATCTTTCTTTCTTCGTATAATAGACTGATTGATTCTATGGCAATTGTATTATTATTATTATTTTAATGTTGCCAACCTTTTATTTTCGGTTTTTGTTTGTTTTTTTGGTAGAAAAAAAAATCACCAACAACAAAAATTTGATTAATTTTGTTTTTGTATTTATTTCCCGTTAACACTTAAAAAAAACTGGTAGTGTAGAGAGAAAAAAAAAGTTTTGATGCGTTTAAAAAAATTCTAATAATGAAGTATGAACATCCTGTTGATGGGGTCCTCCTCACTGTCCTAAACTATTTAGCTGGTTGCGCTGTTAGATATAATTTACTATAAGTTTTCATTATTTCTAGAGTTGCTGTCATGCTTGTCAGTTGATATACTTGAAACTATTACGAGTTCATCTTAGTCGATAAACGAGAACAAGACAATGAACCACTGACACGGTAGGCTACTCTGATCCGTTGAATCAAGCACACAAATCGCGTTTATTTATACATCAGAGAAACGTCCTTGGGAGAGTCACAAAAATAGCACACTAAAATGACACGTCAACCAATCACAGCCAAGAATTTTACTGGTGTGAAATGTGATCTCATGATCAACTTTGATCAGTCCATGAATAAAATCCAAAATGAAGACATTTATCAAGCGAGTTCTGGGGATATAACGTCCCCAACAGTTTCACTACTGCAAATTTTTCTCAGCTGATGATTTTCATGAATTAGTCAATTTTGATTGGATACCTTTTGGCCATGTTCTGATTGGTGAGATTGATTGCTCAATTAATTCGTGTCTAGATTTTGATTGGTTAATAAAATGTGTTCAGTATTTAATGTCGAGCCAGTTGTCCAATAGAAAGTAGAATACTGCTAATATACAAGACATTCTGGTGAATAGATAATAGTATAGAGTATTAACACTTTGTTTCATAAGTGATGTTTGCTCATAACTTAAATGCGTTCTACATGAACCATGGAAACCGAAATTTCGACAGCATTTAGGCCTCGTCGCCCTCCGCCTTGAACTGTACAGTTTGTGGAGAGGAAGAATGAATGCTTAGACAGTGGGAATATTGAACAGGTTGTCAATTCATGAAATATTTTTATGTTCGGGTCATCCATACAGCTGATTAATTTAAGAATTCCCATATGTTGAGCCTATCACACTGCCTCTTATTCACACAAAAAACTCAACATGAAAATTTTACAAACCTCGAGGCTAATAACTTATACATTAGTTACCATATGATTTTCATAGTTAAAAAAGGGATCGAAACAAATCATTTATCTAGCATATGCCGATAAAGTTTATTATTCGCTCTGTGACGGAATTCATCATTCAATATTTTCAACTGACTGATCCCCAGGTGGTGGTGACCAGTGTCACCAACGCACTTAGTTCTTTAATGCTAGTGAAAACGTTATACTGAACAAGTTCTATGAATTCTAGTCTCAAAGACTTGACATCAGGTAAACTATGTTAAAATGTTAGGTGGCTGAAGACAGTCAACAAGAAAACCTTCCTAACTTGATACTCGTCATCAAAGAATATATCTAATTTTAGCCAAAACTATGCTCTCTGGTGAATCCGCACCTGTGTTACGTATGATGTGACACTGGTTATTACTTACTTATCAATTAATTGTCAATAACTCAATTGGATAGAAGATCAGTTGCTGTTCAAATAGCTGACTAGTAACATCACAGAATGAAGCAGGATAGAATCCCACAAATGATTACATCGTTTTCATCAAAATTACAAATGATTCTTACTAACAAGTTCCAACTATCATGAAGTTTAAGTTTAACAGCATTTCCAACTGACCAATAATCTCAATTAGAGTTATGGAGATTAGTGTTTCTTTGCACAATGAAATCATCAATCAATCATTATTAGATAACCACCATTAGAAACCTGGAAGCACTGGACGGCCGTTTCGTCCTGGTATGGGACTCATCAGCAGTCCGCATCCACAACT